GGAGGCGGGCCCGGGCTCCCAGGCTCCTCTCCCGCTCCGCCTGGAGCGTCCAGGGGTTTTGTCACAAAGAGTTCCCCGGGAGGTTTGGTTTCAAACTTCCCTCCTGACCCTCTGCTGCTCCGAGACAAAGCGCTGCGCTTCTGTGTTCCCCGGACTCGCCATCCACATCCTGCCCCGAAAACCCGTCCTGGAAAGGGGGACAGATGGGAGAGCACCTCCGCTCCGCCGCCGGTTAAGCACCCCTGCACCCGGCTCACTGACCCCGTCCTTCTCTCCGGCTGATGCCCCCCTCCCTGCCCTTAGCATCCAAACCAGCTAAAATATGGCATTTAGAAAGCCCCCGGTCCTCCCTTCCTCCCTCCCTTTACAGGGCACCTCAAAGCCGCACTGGCCACGCCACCCCTGGGGTTCCTAGCTGCCATCTTCATCGGGTCTCCCTCCCACTCCTCACCCCTGTGGCCACTCTCTTGCTGGTGGGCTCCCTGAAGCTCTGTCCTTAGCCTCATCTTCATCTCTGGGTGATCACACCCACTTCTCCTGCCTCAGTTATCAAGCCGCCCCCCCAACCCCCACCCCGCAATGGAATGGTGAGAACCATGAACACATATGGGGCGCTTACTCTGCACCAAGTACCTGTGTTCCAAGCACTTTATACTATGAACCCATTTGACCCTCCTTGTAGCCTGTGACTAGATGAGGAGACTCAGGTACAGAGAGAGGTTAGGTTGGTTCCAGATTTCCCTCAGTTAGTACGGAGCAGGGACAAGGATACAAGCTCTGCCGGTCTGGGACCAGGGTCCCTGTGCCTCACCACCACACCACACCGCCTCTTCTCAGCCTGCACCTCTCCCAGACAGGAATATCTCACCACCTCCTGGATACCGACTCCTGGGCACTGCAGGCACCTTAAACCACCACCCCAACAAACATCACCCTGTGTCTCCCAGCCCACCCTCCGTCCCCAAGTCCCCTCTCTCATGTCTTTCCAAACACCTACTGGTGTCTGAGAGATTAAACACTGTTCTAATAAAAAGGCCACCACCCTGTCCAGTGTGGCTCAGTTGGTTGGGCGTTTTCCTAGGCACTGAAAGGTTGCTGGTTTGATTCCAGGTCAGAACACATGCCCAGGTTGTGGGCTCGATTCCTGGTAGGTGGTGTGCAGGAGACAGTCAATGTTCTGCTTTCATCACATGCCCAGGTTGTGGGCTCGATTCCTGGTAGGTGGCGTGCAGGAGACAGTCAATGTTCTGCTTTCATATCGATGTTTCTCCCTCTCTTCCTCTCCCTTCTTCTCTCTAAAAATCAATTTAAAAAAAAGTAAAAAAAAACAAACCCAAAACTATAATAATAAAAGCGTAACATACTATAATAATAAAAGTGTAACATGCTGATCAGACCAGATATCCTTCCGGACATCCTTCCAGATGACCTTCCAGATGAAGCAGGGGCTGCAAGGGAAGCCCGGGTCCGGGGTGCCTGCTGGTGGCCAGAGGGAAGCCTGGGTCCCAGGTGCTGGAGGGAAGCCTGGATCCTGGGTGCCAGAGGGAAGCCGGTGCCGGCAGCTGGGGGAAGGAAGGCCTATTCTTGCACGAATTTCATGCATTGGGCCTCTAGTCTACTCTAATAAAAGGTAATATGCTAATTAGACTGGACCGACCAGACATCTTCTGGACATCCGACTTCCTTCTGGACAAAGCCACAGCGGTGGGGGCCAAGGCAGAGGTGGTTAGGGGCAATCAGGCTGACAGGGGAGCAAGCAGTTAGGGGCAATCAGGCAGGTGGGAGAGCAAGCAGTTAGGGGGCGATCAGGCCAGCAGGGGAGGGCAGTTGGGAACGATCAGATAGGCAGGCAGGCAAGCAGTTAGGAGCCAGCAGTCCTGGATTGTGAGAGAGATGTCCGGCAGTCGGACATCCCGCGAGGGGTCCCAGATTGGAGAGGGTGCAGGCCAGGCTGAGGGACACCCCCCCACCCCCTGTGCATGAATTTCGTGCACCAGGCCTCTAGTATATATATATATAAAGAGCCACAAAGTCAATGAAACAGATGCATCCTTACCTTAATGGAGCTCAAATCTAGTGTTTGGGGTGTGACGGACATTAATGAATCAAGTTATCAACAATCAATTAATCAAACAAAATTATGACAAAAATATGTCATTTAAAGCTGAGACCTAGAGAATGAGTCAACCAAGCAAAGAATGTGTGTGTGTCTGTGTGTGTCTTCTTGCCCAGGGAATATCATGTTCAAGGGGACCAGTATGTAGCTCACACACACACATACAACTGAAACAAACTTTTCCTGAAACAATACTTGACTATGTGTGCTATCCTTTGATATTTTATCTATTTTGTTGTTGAAAAGGCTGGTGACAGCTCACCACAGTGATTTTACAATGGTCACTGCTCCTGTTCCCCCGTTCACCTTGTTCCCTGGTTGTTTCCTGGCCTCAGAAGTATTTGTTCCCACACCTGCTTATGCCACTCGTATTTGTCACTGTAATAGGGAATTTAATTCATGTCCTTTATCAATGAAACACAGGGGAGAAAAGCAAGTGTTGTTATTTTTAGGAAAACTGAGCTGAAAGTGTGGGAAAGACTAGTGAGAGTGAAACACTTTGACACAAGGATCTCAAATGGGGTCCTCTTGCTACAATTGCCTGTCAGTAGTGGCCGCAATGCCTGGCACCTCATGTTCATCGATACAACAGCTTATATCTCTCCAGCCCCTAGCATGCGTGTGCCAAGTGCATTTCTTTATTCCGCCTTAATCCTCCCGGCAACTCTATGCGGTAGATACGATTTGTATTCCCAATTACAGATGACAACACGGAGATTCAGATGATGCAAGTATCTTGCTCAGGGTGGAACAGAGTCGGAGCTGAAACTTGAAGCACGGGTGTCTGACTCCGACCTCTGAATTCCTAGCCTGTGGTTCCATGGTCTCATTGAGCCTCAGGAGGAAATGAGTGAACACCCTCCCTGCCTGGGCGTTTCACCCTTTCCCCAGGACCACAGCTGGCAGGCTAGGTGAAGGAAGAGCAGTTTCCATGGCAATGAGAAAGGGAGGAAGAAACATTTGCTTCTGAATGAGAAGGCTCTCTCCCTCTGCCTTTGCGTGAAGCGGTGGAGCCAGGGGCTGGGCGCGGGGTGGAGGATGTGCTGAGGTGAGCAGGCCCCCGGTGGAGGTGGAGGGGTGGGGGGTGCAGGGCTCCTGCTCCTCCTGGTAAAGAGGAAAACCAATCAGTTGTCCCAGGCTGAGGCTTTCTGGGGTCCAGCCCCAACCCCTGCCCCGCCCTGCCCTGGGGGCTTCCTGTTCAACAGCAAAGCTTCCCCCGTTTCCTTGTCCTCGGGGACTGTCAGTCTGAGGGAAGCAGCAGACATTAAACTGTGCAAAGTGCAAGGGGCGGCGAAGGAAGGGAAAGGGGCAGGGGTCAGAGCAGGCTGCCCTTGGCATATGTAAGCTGCTGTAGCTAAGGAGTTAGGGGACAACGCGAGGGGATGAGCGGATGCTGGGAGCCGGAGACTGCCAGGACCCAGGGCCAGAGAGGCTGAGCGAGAGGGAGGGCAGGGGCCTGGGTGGTAAGAGCCAGAAGCGCAGGGCTCCTTGGCAGGAAAGGAGCTTAGGATTTGCCCGGAGGCAGTGGGGAGCCTTATTAAAGAGGGCAGTGGGGTTATTGGAGTTGCATTTTAATGAAGGCCATTAGGAGGTTAGTTTGGGGGTCATGGGGTGGCTGGGGGTCTGTCTTGAGGCTGAGGCCCGAGCACCTCATTCTTCTCAGCAGTGAAACCAACCGAAACCACTGGCGTCAGTTGTAACACCCCCTTCCCTCAGGCCGCGCCCCCCCCCCCACCTTCCACCCCTGCCACCCAGGGGCCCAATCTATCAGTCTACCTCCTCTTGGTAACTCTGCAACCCCAATGTGTGCCCTTTGACCCTTCTACACAGGGAAGCCATTGAAACAGTGGGAGAGGTTTAAGTGTGAGGCATGATTAGATCCTTTCCTACCCGTGTGAATTATGTCACGAACAGAAACATGCTTAAAACATGCTTAAACATGCTTAAGCCATGAGGTTTAGTATGATGAATACTGAGAAAGCAAACCCTCATGTAACTGTCACCCAGGACATCGCCAGCACCCCACCCCTGCTGCGTGTCCTCCCTCCCTCCCTGGACTTCCTGGTGATCACTTTTATTTTCCTTTGTAGTTTTTCATCTAAGAGTTCATCTTACCTCCGATGCACGCAGGCCGCTCTAGGTTGCTGTGTGGCCAAGAAAGGATGGGACAGAAGAGGAGGATCTCTGCCCCCCACCCTGACTCCCTGCCCCCAGAGAGGACCGGAACTGGGCCCTCAGGAAGCGGGGGTCTGAGCACTAGGTGGGGGGGAGTCTTGGAGGGGTCTGACTTGCTGCCTCAGTCTGGGCTCCTGGGCCCAGACCAGTTGGCCCAGGCTGGGCTTCCCCTGTGCCAGCCACTATGGGAGACTTTCAGGGGTGCTGGGTTTTGGGGTTCCATTCACTGCTCAAGGGAGGCCTCTCAACTTCCAGGAGAGGGAGGCAGGAAAGTGATTTTCCCGTTTCAGTTGGGGAAATGGAGTTGGGGATAGGAGACACCTAAAGCCACAAGGTCAGCCCTTCGCATGCAGCTCTGCCTGGCTCACCCGCACTCCCATCTCTACCTTGGCAGGGTCTATCCCATCTCTAGGAAAGAGGTCAGCCGGGGTCCAGCAGAGAAAGGTTTTGTGGTGCCAGAAACAATCCTCATCACCCTCAGGACCTTGGAAAGACCAGGTAAAAAACTTGAATCCGCCACAAGGTGGCGCCAGACACCAACTCTTTATATGATTTTTCACTTGAGAGCAGAAAGGGGATCCCTGATACTCCGAATAAGCTCTGCGGATTCCCTCCCCCGCCCCCCCCCCCAAAAGGAGGGGAGAGCCCCGCTGCCCCCAGCCAGACATTGTAGGAGAGGATGGAATGGGGCTGGGGAGGGCTCCTCAAATTTATCCAAGCTGACCTGCTTTTCATACCCTGTTTCAGTGTTCTCCCAAACTAGAAACCTGCCAATCCTCTCCCTCCACAATGTCACGTCCTCCTGTGGGTGGATAGAGTTTGGGGAGAAGAGGAGGAAGAAATAGAGAAGAGGGAAAGCAGGGACCACACAGTCCACAGGGCCTGGCCTAGGGTTCAAAGAGACTAAGAACCTGAGACCAGGGCCACCGCCAGGGACAGGCAGGGCAAGGGGCTTTGGGTCAGTCTCTCCTTTTCTCCTTTGGTGGCCCAAGTCTTCGCTGCTGCTTGCTCCCTCAACGCTGTCTTCTTTAAGAAGGCTCCAGCCGACTTCCTCTCTTCTTGACGTGGGACAAAACCAAAGCTGACGCAATAATGTGTCAGGCCGGGGCTCCCATCCCCGAGAGAAGCAGTGGATGGATGGGGCAGAAGGCTGGGAGTGGACCTGAGGGAGGAGCAGCCTGGAGCCAGCATGGGGCACCACCCTGCCTCACTCCTCTAATTCCCCTCCCCCGCAAGACAAATCCCCGGGTTTTAGCCAGAGCGCCTTCCCTTGGTGAGATTATATCAGCCCGGGCTGGACAGCTCCCGCAGCCATGGATGCCGCTCTGCTCCTGAACGTGGAAGGGATCAAGAAGACCATTCTGCACGGGGGCCTAGGGGAGCTCCCAAACTTCATCACCGGATCTCGAGTGAGTGGGGCCCCCCTCCCCTCCTCCCCGGCCACGGCAGCCTCTGCAGCCCGCTGGCCACACGGCACTGCAGACAGGTCTCAGCTTTGCCAAAAGTGGCCGGGCAGGCCCTTCCTGGGATTGTGAGCCCCGAGGCATCTGAACGGGTGTCTATTCACTGGGCATTTTGGTACTTTGCAAATTAAACTACAGCATGGGATGGGGGACAGGCTTTGGGAGTTTTCTGGAGCCCCAGATGTTGAGTGAGAAGGTGAGAAGGAGGGGCTCTCAGGATCGTGGTGTTTGGCCACAAGTCTCTGGTGGCTTCCCTGGGTGATGGGCTGTGTCTGGGGCCTCAGACCTAGGGCTGATTTAAGGAAGGACATCCTGACCCACAGAGCTGTCAAGAGTGGGACGAGGGTCATTTATGGGGGAGGGGCTTCCTCATCCCTGGGGGAGTGCAGGTGGGCGGGGGTGCTCTGGGGGTCTGAGACATCTGACCGGAGCTGGGGAGCGGACCCTGAGGCCAGCCCTGAGAGTTGGTGACAGAGGGGTGGCTCCTGCTGGGCCTCGGGAGGTGTGTCTAGACCAGGGTCCACTCTCTCGGGGACCAGGTGACCTTCCATTTCCGCACCATGAAATGCGACGAGGAGCGGACGGTGATCGACGACAGCAAGCAGGCGGGGCAGCCCATGCACCTGATCATTGGGAACATGTTCAAGCTGGAGGTCTGGGAGCTCCTGCTGACGTCCATGCGGGTCCGTGAGGTGGCTGAGTTCTGGTGTGACACCATCGTAAGTAGGCCAGGCCGGCCCAGACCCTGGGCTGATTTCTACGGGGCCCAGCCACCCACTCTGTGTGTTTCAGGGCTGCTGTGTCTCAGGAAGGGGGGCCTAAAACAACACTCCCTGCCACTGGAAAGACGGAGATGGATTAAGAATAAGCCCCTGAAGTGACGGTGTCGAGGCTGGCTGGTGGGAGTGGGTGTTAGGAATAAAGCAGGCAAAGTCCCTGGCCTTCAAGGAACTTGACTTCTGGAGGAGGAGCAGACACCTAAGCACACACAGGGCAGGGCAGCCAGTGCCATGGCGTAACGCAGCCGGGGCAGCGTGCTTTAGGGCCACAGGAGAGGGGCCGCTGACTGCCTTGGGGTTTTAGGGGAACTTCTTCAAGAAGGTGCCATTGAGCTGGGTCTTGAAGGATGAATAGGAGTTCGCCAGGTCTAGAAGTGGGACGAGAGGCAGCACCCAGCCAGGAAGGGTGAAAGGCTTGGCAGGTTTCGTTTGGGAGGCCCCTCTCTTTTATGCGGCAGCTCCTCACTTCATCATTCAGTTTTGGAAAGACTAAGCCATCAGTGGGGCAGGCATGTCTATTTGACAAAGAGCTTAAGAGGCCTGTTTTCCCCTAGCAGTTGCTGCTTGTCAGCCCCTGCAGAGCCCTTTGCTTGGACAGTCTCTCCAGGCCAGGGGCCTCCCTCCCCTCCCTC